GGTGATGTCAGCCTTTGTCTTCCTGAGGACATCAGCCAGCCGGGCACAGGCACCTTCCCCATTAAGAGTCCGAATAATCCAGGTGGATACCCTTAAATCATAGTCCTTTATACGTTTGCCGTAGTCGTCATAAGAAAAAGGGGGTCTCATCCCAGGCTTTTTAGATTTTTTCATTGGGCGGAGTTTTAACGTGGCAGGACCCAAACCCAGCGCACGCGAAGTTTTACGCCTTCTCACTTTAGCTCGCTCCCAAACGGGTGTTTGGTTGCTACCCAGAGGATACGTGAATATAAATATCCGGACGTTGTGAGCTGCGACCGTACGCACAAGAATCGCTTCTGGCCGCTCCCAGGTGAATGGCAGTTAATAGTCTTCTGCACACGGAACCATCCTCCATGGCAATAGGAACTCCAAAAAATGCGAAATAAATACATATGTTCGTTTGCGGATTTAAAATTTGAAGTAGGCCCAGAGGCCTATCGAAATATTTACAAGCAACATTTCATGACAAGAAGTCATAGACATTTAAAGTTAATACGAGTTCATATTTAAGTCTGAACTACGAATAATATGCCATCAAACAAGTGTTAGCCCCACCCTATTAAATTCGGGTCTGAAGGGGCGCAACTGAGTTATGGTGATAATTTGAAGCAGCGCTCATATGTACGCTCCAAGCGCTCATAAAAGAGATCCTTGGATACTTCGTCCTACTCATCCTTCGAAGCGCCATACTTATAAAAGTTTTCGCGTGAACAGTTGCGAATTGAACGTTGTACTCTTTCATTTACATAATTATTATCTGATACGATTTTTATTATACACTAGCCAATGCCCGCTTACCTCGCGGCGCCTAATAAGAGCTTTTCGTTGGCCAATGCAAAAGAGCGTTTAAAAACAAAATTAGTCTGTAAAGTCAAAATTTTTGATTTAAGTTGAAACCACTAAGGTGCAGTATCCTCCTCACACATAGGCCAATAATAGTAACGCTGTGATACCATATGGAATACCTATCCCTTTTGGTGTCATGAGCTTTACCAATGGTCTTATTTCCACTCGTGAGATCTCTGCCAAGCATGCGTAATCTTTTTGTATGATCTTGCAACTACAACATTGGTGCGATGCGTATGCCAATAAAAGTTCTTATAGAGAAACTCAAGAGCACAGAAGTGAGTTTTCTGTTATAGGAGGGCCTAGAATCCTCGCTGTCATATAGGATGAAAAGTTTTCCGGTACATTGCTAAATGAGTCGTGTGATCTCTTAAGTATCTTTCAAATGGAGCAATTGATATACCTACAGTGATCTTTCCTTGTTAATTCACCACTTTTACAAACTTAACCCCATCCTTCATTTAGACATCTGAAAACTAAATTCGTATAACTTAAACATAGGGCCAAAGCAGACCAACCACGGGGTTTCTATACATTTCGGCTGCAGCGCCATCCATTGGGTTCATTTTCTGTAAAACCATTGCTTACCATAAAATGAATACGTGTTATGAATTTCAACCTTAACTCCAGCGGCACTAATTGGGTAAATTTTTATCAAAAGAATTTTCCATCATACAGGTACATAGCTCACATTTAAAATTTGAACGAAATCGGTTAATAAATACGATTTTTATAAATAACTCTACTCCAGCACCACCTAGCGAGTTTTCTAGTAGCATGTAATATATGTATGTCAGATAACCTCCGACAATCTGACGGAACTCTATTCAGTGGTTTTTGAGTTTATTCCGAACAACGAAAACGGCTATCATTTTATGCAAATAGGTATGTAGATATAGGGCAGTCTATAACGAAACCCGAAAAATCAAAGCTCCATTCTTTGTGCAAAATTTAAAAAAATTCTTCAAAATTTTCACATAAATTTTACCTTTTACTAAAAACTAAAAACAAAGTTACAATATTTCAATGGGATTTAGAAATCTAGGAGAAAATGGTTCCCAATCGAGTGATACTTGTGCGTTTACGTAAATGTATATCGATGCAGTCTTTCCAATAATTACCACTTTTCGCCATAAGTACGGTATTGATAAAAAATGTAGCTGTGTAGAATTTCAGGACGTTAGCGTAAGTAGTTCCAGAGATAAGCTATATGGGAAGTTCAGTTTGTATGGAAGGAAGGAGCCACGCTCCTTTCCCAATGCATTTGCAATATATGCACCAGTGCTAAGTTCAGTTTCCCAGCGTAATTGGTTTTAGAGATATATTGGTTTTTTACGTTTCAGTCTGTATAAGAATTTTAGGAATATCTCGAGCTACATACCGAGTAAATTTTTGGTCAGAATATTTATTTTCAAGGTGTTGCCAAATATGAACCAAGTCGGTGCAGCCGTTTAGTAGTTTAGTGAGATACATTGTAAAGAGAACTGTATGAAATTGTTAAACGTGACGTCTCAGATTTCTTAATTTTTTGGCAGCAACAACGAAAAGTTTTAATTTTTTTTAGCGAAAAA